GCTGTGGAAGAAGATCTGCTGTTAAGTCGGTCTGTACATGATATTCTGTCATGAAAACTTTATCCTCTCGGTCACCTACCTACCCTTTCACCTACCAAATATTTCTCTATCATCTGTCATCTGTCTACTTAGTACCATTGTGTCTACAGTCTATCAAGTACCTATGTACGTACCTTTTCTTTCTTTCTTTCTATCTACCTATCCTTCCATTAATCCATCCATCCATCCATCATCCATCCATCTATCTATCTATCTATCTATCTATCTATCTATCTATCTATCTATCTATCTATCTATCTATCTATCTATCTATCTATCTATCTATCTATCTATCTATCTATCTATCTATCTATCTATCTATCTATCTATCTATCTATCTATCTATCTATCTATCTATCTATCTATCTATCTATCTATCTATCTATCTATCTATCTATCTATCTATCTATCTATCTATCTATCTATCTATCTATCTATCTATCTATCTATCTATCTATCTATCTATCTATCTATCTATCTATCTATCTATCTATCTATCTATCTATCTCATCTATCATCTATCTATCTATCTATCTATCTATCTATCTATCTATCTGTCATCTATCTAGTCTGTCCCTTTGTCCATCCATCCATCCCTCCCTCCATCCATCCATCCCTCCATACATCCATCCACCCATCCGCCCATCCATCCATCCATCCATCCACCCATTCACCCACCAGCTATTGGTTTCATATATGCTGTTAAGCCTTGTTTGATATGATCTATCTATCTATCTATCTATCTGTCATCTATCTAGTCTGTCCCTTTGTCCATCCATCCATCCCTCCCTCCATCCATCCATCCCTCCATACATCCATCCACCCATCCGCCCATCCATCCATCCATCCATCCACCCATTCACCCACCAGCTATTGGTTTCATATATGCTGTTAAGCCTTGTTTGATATGTCCCTTAGATGAATCACGTGGGCACATAAGTATAGTTACCATCCTTCTGTCTGTCTTGAAGCTCTGAACTCAAAGAAGGATTTGTTTAAAATCATCAAGGGTGAACACAGCAGAAACTAGAATTCATCATCTCTGCTATCAGCAGAGACACACTGCTTATTACCACTGCTGAAGTTTGAAGCTGGTAGGCACAATTCTGTTAGTCAACTTTGAAATATTTTAACAAATGCCCGAGATAACTAATAAAGAGAAAAGACTTATTTTGGCTAACAGGAAGTTTTAGCCATGGTCAGTTGGCCCCATGGATTTTCAGCCTGGGGTGAAGCAGTAATAATGGGTGGGGCACATAGTAGAGCAAAGCCACCCACCTCATGACCAGGAAGCAGAAAAGGGAAAGAAGAGGGGCCTGGAGTACCACTACTTCCTCCAGTGGCCTGAACACTTGTCATTGGGTTCCTGCTCCCAAAGACTGTATCCCATCTCTCTATAATGCCGAACAGGGGATTAAGCCTTTACCACAGGGACCTTTGAAAGACATGTAAGATCCAAATGCAATAACATTATATGTAGTGTGGAATCCTAGCCATCAATGGGAATGGGCTGGTTCTAAAATAAGTTTCATCTTGAGTGTCAACTCCAGATCAGATGGCAGGTGCTACTTGGGGTTGAGAAAGATTCTAAGGCCCCATCTGAGTTGCAATTGTTCAGTGAGGTCTGCCATGGCTATAGGAGCTCCTGTATATTCTTGTCATATATTTTCCATCCGTGTTTTAACACCATAATAGGTGGTTATCTTGACAGGTCTCCATGCTCGCCATAATGTTTTATGAAGACGTTTGTGAGAAAATAATTATAGATAGCGTTCAACTTCTAGAAGCTGGTTTTAAAACTAACTATGCAAACTTCCTCCTTCAGTGATCATGGTTAGCAAAATGCAGAGAGAAAGTAAGGAAAGCTAAGGGTGTCATCAATATCTATTAGTCATTTTACTGAAAGGGCAAATGTATGTCGTCCTATCCAGGCTGCTCTGTACACTAAAGAGGAAGAATGGTTTTCCAAGCAGTTATAGTTAGTCATGTGTAGTATTGAAAATTAACAGCATTCATTTCTGTGCAAATGTAATCAGATTAACTTTTATTTTAAGCATCTCTTACATTCTCATTAATAACAATATACTGTTAAGCTAGTTTTAAAAGATTGGCAAAATATGTTTCATTTTGGAATTGGATACCAATGCTGAGAGATAACTTCATGGAATTATGTGTGATATGCTTATAGAGGGGGTCTGCTAACCCTCAGGGTTAGTACTGATGTCTTAGAATTCCCTCAAAGGCTTAGAAATAAACTAGAACATATAGATCAGAACATTCTTTGCTGAGCTTCCCCCTAACTTCCTTCCCACTGTGTATTTTTTACTGAGAATCATAGTCAGCTGACCTGAATAACACTCAATGCATTTTGATGGGAAATTCTAACCATAAGTCTAATGGATATCAGCAGCTTTGTCTGTTGAAACCTTGGCACAGGAGGCAGAGGATGTCAGCATCCTCTGACCTTGGTCAGCACTAGCACAGGTCCTTTAACCATGCTTTGTACTTTTATGTCGTTGTTGTTTTGGTTTCTTTGGCTGTAAGTGTTGAGGCAAGGTCTCACTGTGTAACCCTGGCTGGCCTTGAACTCATTATGCAGAACAGACTGGCCTTGAACTCGCAGGGTTCTGTCTGCCTGTTTCCTGAGTGCTGGGATTAAAGGCACACACTACCACTTCCAGCACTGGTCATTCACAAGGCTGAGTTCGTGCTACCTTTCAGCACATGAGTGTTCAGATAAGGGCGCAATACAGAAAATATCAAGGAAAAGGGGGAGAGTGGGTCTGTTTCAGTTCATCTATAGGTCTAGCCACTAAACCTGACAGTTTCTCCAGCTTGTTGGACTTGCTCTATCTGAAGAAAGAAAGAAAGAAAAAGATGAAGGAAGGAAGGAAGAAAGAAAAAGATGAAGGAAGGAAGAAAGAAAGAAAGAAACCAACCTGGGCCTATGTCACTGTATGAAGATGATCCCAGAGACAGGTGAAGTATAATCACCAACTAAGGAGACTAATTCCTCAGTCCTCCAGCCCCCAACCAGCCTCCTTACTTTCCAGCTCTCCTAACCCCAGAAAGGGTTAAAGTAAGGGTTATTCATTCCTGCTGATCAGGTCACAGTGTGACATCTATAAAATGTACCATAAAACTACATTATTTAATAGATTTGGGTATTTGCACCTGCTTTCTTATCTCCTCTTAGGTGATTAAGTTCTCCACAAATGCAATTTGTTAATATGGGGCCACATTTTCTTACAAAGTAATCTGTGAAATTTGGCAGGCAGTTGCTTGGCTGCAGGTGCAAGATGAAAGACCTTTCCCTGGCTTTGCCAAGAAGAAAAATGATGTCGAGCTTAATTTTCTGGGGAAAAAATATTCTAACACGGAGGGTAGAACTTGACTCTAAGAAAGGGGAATAGAATTGTAAGGACCCACTCATGTGCTTCCTTTCCTTTGGGGGACAATGTTACCCCCCAAAAGATGAGTGGGTAATCAGAAGTCTTAAATGAGGCCAGGTATTGGGCATATCCCCCTCTGCTCAGGGAAGCCCTGATATGTAGAGCTGTAGCCATTTGTAATGATATATGATGACTTTTACTCTTATGAGCTAGGAGGGCTTAATTAGAGCGTAATTAAAGCTAATGCTGAGAATCCTTTGGAAGGTGGAGCAATTCAAAGTTAACTCTCTTACCCCAAAGCCCGAGTTTGGAAAAGCGTTCTTTGAAATACATAACATCCCCATGCTGGGGCCTGTCTGCGTCTTCACACCCATGAAAGCAAGAGCTAGCTAGTTTTTCATTAGAATTTCCTTGGCCAACACTGCAAGAGGCCGTGTGCCCAGGTCCATTTCAGCTTCCTGGGCATTTACATGGAAGGTCGCCTTTGAATCTGCAGATCCAGCTCGCCATAAACGTGTCTCAGGGAGTCACTGCTCATGCTGGCAATCAGCTTCCGAGGGCCAGAGACCCAAGGCCGACATACTTCTTCCCACTGTACGGTGGCATTCGGCCGGATTTCACTGAAAAGATGAGAAAGAGAAGAGAGGTTAGCAACCCAGCTCTCCACCTTGACCAGGAACCGTGAAGACCTTGCCTGAGCCACTTACCCTTTCTCTCTTTCAGCTGATGATGGCCAGAAGACCGTCTGTTTGGTCTCTCAGCCTGGTTGACTGATTCAATAAGCCATGACCAAAATGAGGTCCCTATGTGAGGCTCTGTAAGGCTGGTCAACAGCCTGAACATGGTTTCTGTGAACATGATTCCATCTGGCTGCATTTGCTGACTTCCCAGATGGGAGGAGGTTGGCTGAGCCTCCCCAGGTATGAACTCTGGTTTGGCCCTAAGACCTCTCCAGTAGCCTTGTCTATGGGACTTATCTGCCCTGTCTCATCTTTGCTCCTCTAGTTCCCTCCTGGTATTAGAGCCCTATGTGGACCCTCAGCAGCCTTTGCTGAGGCTCTGACTTTCTCTTTAGATCTTGCTAACCTTTTTGGCATGAACCTTGTTTCCAGGCCCAGCATCTGAGCATGAACTATCTGCTGCCACCTGACCCTCAGTGTCTTCATGCTCTGTAATTCATGCTGTTAATCTGACCACCAAATTGGTTCTCACTACCAATGTACCTTTCTGTAGCTTGCTTGTTGCTGGTGCCCTAATCTATCCTGATAACTGAGTAGCCTTTATGGTACCAGAGCCCTATTCTGCTTCTTTAGTCCATGCTCAGAGATCTTCCCAGGTCTCATGGACAAAATTACTTCCAGGAATGACTGATGTTATCAGGGTTGGGGATACTTGGGCTTCTCTGGGGTGATTTTTATACACTCTTCTATATAAGCATGGGAAGCAATACTATACTCAAGTTCACGTTGCTTGTAGGGCCTTGAGGTAAGTGCTCAAGACATACCAGTGAGGCCACGTTTCCAAGAATGTATAGTTAGCAAATGGGCAGAGATGAGGTCTCATCAAAGGGTGAACATAATGGAACATTTTATTTCATGCTATATTCCATAAAAGATGCCTTTTGAGGCCTATAATAATTTGGTCAGAGGGACATAAAGAACACTTTTTGCTCCTTGCCCTCCTAGGTCAACTAGTTCCAGGGGACTATGAGCATCTCTCAAAATGTTCTATAATGGTGGTGGTCACCTGTCCTCTTGATCAAGGAGGCCGAAGAGACCCCACCAGATGGACTTGAACCAGTGTCCAGTCTATAAAAAGGAAGGTCAACACAGTTAAAGAGGAGGGTCAACACAGAGGAATCACTTCCTCCATGCTTCCAAACAAAGGCAACACGGTTGAGCAGGACCTTTGACTTATCTTCATGTAGGTAGAACTGGTAAAAGAAAGGAGCTAGGGACTCCTCCCAAGCCCATGTGACCCCCTGAGGAACAGAGCCTCAAATGACCTTAAGAGTAAAAATAAATCGGTTTATCTGGACCAACTGTATGGCCTTAAACACCCAAAAGTTAAATATAACCAAAGATTAAAGGGGATAATATAATTTCATAAGAGTCCATATGTCTAGCTAAAGGCAATATAAAAGCAACAATGCCAGACAGGTGATACCTTCTTTTGAGTTGTTGGGCAGGGTGGCCAAAGGGATTCCCAGATAGTAACCCAGCATAGAACAGGGAAATTGAACAGTAGACCCCAATCTTATCCAAAGGAATATAGACAACTGATTCAACTGATTACCGCTAGATGAGGAACAGCTGACCCTCCTAAAACAAAGGCCTCTAGATAGGCTGACTAGATTCACCAGAAGAGCAAATAGTGGGGAATGGCTGGGGGTACTGACAACACAGCAGACAGTAGCAGTGATATCAGAGTGTAAGGGCTCTAGTGGGGGGAGGGAGGCTATGGGAGGGTGCTATCTAGGAAGTGGGTGTAAAAATTTAAAAAAAGATGCCTTTTTATAGCCATGGTGCTTAGTTTTTCATAGGCTTTATTTCTCAACGAAGCCAGAGGCCTTTGGTTGGTTCAGTATGAAGAGCTTCCTGCAAGAGTTGTGCAGTGGGATTTCTGGGCTCTTCTCCCTCACCTTGGGGATGGCAAGTACTAGGTTGCCTGGCGTGGAAATGAGGACAGCTCTTTTCTAAGAGAGTAGAAGGGAGACTAAACAAGACCATCATGAATGTCTTGAAAAATAATTAAGGAAAAAGAAGGCTGGGGAATGGCAGGTAAAGTGCTTGCCATAAAAGCATGAGGACCAGAGTACAGAGCTCCAGAAACCTCCACACCCCCTTCTCCGAACACAGACACACAGACACACAGAAACAGACACAGACATAGACACAGAAACAGAAACAGACACAAACACAGGCCATAGACACACACCTACAGACACACAGACACACACAGACACACAGACACACACACAGAGCCAGATGGGTGTGGCAGCCTTCCTGTAATCCCAGCACATAGAGGACTGAGGCAGGGAATCCCTGGAACAAGCTGGCTACCCAGATTAGCTGAAAGGGTACTCTACTGGTTCAGTGAGAGACCCTGTCTCAATATATGAGGTGGAGAGTGATTGAGGAAGATACTTGATGTCAACTTCAGGCCTTCACACATATGTGCACACACATGTACCCCACACATATGCAAACACATGTGCTAACATGCATACATGCACACATGCATACCACACACATACATATAAAAAGAAAGAGAGACTTGGCTATTTTCATAATCTTATGGAGGTTTAAAATATCAGAAATGACTTAATCCAATATCCTATTTTATTTTATTTTAAATTTACGTGTATAAGTGTTTTGTCTGGATGTATGTAAGTTCACTGCATGAGTGCAATGCCTGTGAAGGCTAGAAGAAGGTGTTGGATCCCCTAGAACTAAGTTGCAGATGGTTGTTGGCTGCCATGCGGGTGTTGTGAACTGAACCTGGGTCCTCTGCAAGAGTTGCTAGTACTCTTAACCCCTGAGCCATCTGTCTAGTCCCTCCAATATCCCACTTTATAGATGAGGAAACTGAGTTCCTAAGGAACGCACAGAATCCCCAGTGTCACATTGCCCAAAGACCCAGATAACGGAAGAGCTGGAGCTGAAGACAATTCATATTCTTTCTAGATTCTTGCTAGTGGAGTGTGGAATATTATGAATTTTAAGGAAACCTGAACATCAGGAAGAAAAATGAGAGACTTTGAAAAGCCCACAGCAGAACTGGCTGTACTTGGAGAGCACAGGGGCACCTGTGTATAGTGCAGGCTTGCTCCAAAAGGACTCATGGACATTCAACGATTGATCCAGTGGGTTTGGACACCCAGAGCCTCTGTAAATACTTAGTAGTTGTGGGTGCTTAGATGTCACGAAAAATACAAATTTTTACTATATAAGAATATGAAGGAAAACTATTTTGGGTTATAGCATGGTTCTAAAATGAACACTATTATCTACAGCCTTTAGCTCGTGGTTACTACTGCCTATCAGATGGAGCTATAGAGAGAAAAACAAATTGGAATTAATGTAATTCTTTAAATAACCACACGTTACTACCTAAGTAATGTGCAGTGCGTGGTGTCTGTATGATGAAATATTGCCTAGTGATTACAAGCTTCGTGGATCCTGGAAGTTGGTCACTTTGGTTCCAGGCTAGAGTTCTCCCACTTAATAGCCATGTGACCTTAGCCAATTGCTTAAGCCTCAGTTTTCTTCATCTGTGAAATGGGAATCATGAAGTGCTTACCCCCACAGAATTTTTGTGAGATGTAAATGAAATAATCTTAGCAAAGTGCCTAGGACAGGGTTTGGCATGGAGTGAAGACTCAGAAAAGTTCAGCTGACATTTTAGCAGTGCCAGATCCTTTATTTGGTTCCATAATGACGAGGAATTGGCCCAGCTGCTCTTCTATCTACAAACCTCACCAGATAAATTCATTGTGTGATGGAATTTTACCAGATTACCATGTTATGCTGCTATTGGGGCAAGGACAATCCTTGGGATTTAATCTGATTTAGAGCTGAGCAGAGCAGAGTGTGAAGAGAGCATTGCCACGTGACTGGGCTGGTCAGTAACCATAGACGGATGAATCTGCTTACTGGAACTCAGTCAGGTTGATGGCATTGACGAGCAGTCTGACCTCTGTACCAGGCTCTCTTCCCCTAGTGGTGTATGGACTTGGAGGGCTACTTGGTTCTGTACCACATGAGCAAGGATCAGTGTAAATGATTGCTTGTCTGAACACAGGAGAGAGAAAGTGTCTCAGATCTCCCTGAAGTGCCCTTATCCAGATGAATGGAAAGGTTGGGATGGGGATGGAAGAAGAAAAAGGAATTATCAGGGCAAGGTTCAGAGCTGCATATCCTACACATCTGTTTAGTGAGGAAGCTGTTTCTTATCACCACAGTTTTTTTGCTAGGTTAGGGAAGGAAAGGACACTTCAAAGGCACCCAGAGGATTGTTTCAGACCAGCTGAGTCAGACAAGGATCTCACTGGTCACATTAGTACCCAGAAGGTGGGAGCTTGTGGAGGAAGCTGCTACTGTGGGAAACTGGGATGATGGAGTGCCTTTCACTAGCGGACATGATTTGGGGACCAGAAAGTAGGGCATATGCTCAGCAAAGAAGAACCTGTTGTATCAAAGAATTTTGTGACCAACTCCACTGGCTGCCAAGAAAGGACTCAGAGGCAGAGTCAGGCCCCTTTCTTTTGGACATTGAAATGTTCTGGAGGCCAAGAGGCTGGGGCAACACTTAGCTTGGGATAGGGTAGCTGTGGGAGGGGTGACCAGGATGGGGTACTGCCAAAGATAGTCAAGTGTACCTCAAAGGTGACAGCAACATAAACTTCCATTCTACAGTATCATTTTAAATGGGGATTATGAGAGAGAGAGAGAGAGAGAGAGAGAGAGAGAGAGAGAGAGAATGTGCCTACACGCCTACACTTGACTCTTAGTGTCATGTTAGAACCTTCAATTGACACCTAAGGCCAGTGAAAAAATGTGCAATTCATCTGCTTGTGGGTTCACATGCTTTGGGATAAGAAGGGAAAGGGCCTCAGTTACAGTTTGAAGGTGAAATATTCATCACAGGGTCAGGGTCCCCAGCTGCTGGCACTATTCTGAGAGGCTATGGAACCTTATGATTAGTGGAGATGGGTCATTAGGAGTGAGACTTTTGAGGGCTATAGTCTCTTCCCACTTCTCTGCTTCCTGACCCACCATAGTGTGAGAAGCACTAGCCAAGCTCCCTGCATAGTGTCAGTGAGCCACTATGCCAAGCCTTTCCCCCAGATGGACTATATCTCCTGTGAGCCAAAATAAATCCTTCCTCCCTTAAGCTGCTTCTGCAGGGTATTTTGTTATAGTGATGAGAAAGATCAGTAATAAAGCCCCCAACTCAGAAATCCTGACACTGAATAAAAAAATTCTCTTCTCTCCTATGTATGGTCAGTGAATGGGAGGAACCTTGGGAGGCATTCTCTAGGCTCCAGACATTGACATTGACACTGATGATCTAAAATGTCTAAACTAATTTTGTATTTGTTAATGATTTTCCTTATTTTGGTCCTTTTGTAAATGTGGCTCTCCAAATTATTTCAATCAGCTTCACAGAAACCAAATTATGTAAAATATACTATATATATATATGAGTATTTTTTGATTGTAGGATTCAAAGTTTGAAAAATGTCGACTTCTCTATTTTTTACTTATAAACAGTAAAGACTCTTAAATATTGAATAAGGTGAGAAGAGGATGGAGAAAGTATTTGCACTACCTTTAGAACAAGACATAGAAAGTGCCAAGAAATGTTAGAAATATTATTACTGTCATCCCCACCCGTGAGATTGTTACTTGTTCTGCCTGAACTCTGCAAAATCATCAAAAAAGTTCCTCCTGTCTACACGCAGAAACACAGTTCTCAGTTTTTACAGTGAATAATTCAATGTGAATGTAAGTTTAAGATATTTGTTTCAAAACAGCTCTGCTGTCGTTACCTGGTTCCACTCATTCTTTCACCTCTCGTTTCACACATAAACAATCAATCTCCCACTTTCCAATGTCACCCTGCTTAAGGCTCTGTCTGGGGATGGTGTCATGTAGGTAACTGCCTCCAATAGGAACTAAATCTTCAGCTTTGTTTCAGTTTTTCTCCTTTTATCAGAGCCATCTGTGTAATATGTGCTCACATGAAGATGCTCAGGTAGGAAAACTCACATGTGGGATATTTTACTTACAGATAAATGCAGAACAGAAAGAGGAAAAATAATTTGTTCATTTCAGTAAGTGAAATAATGTCGGAATAATCATATTTCCTGGGGACAGATGTTGTGAAAAATGATTCTGAGGAATGTGCTGAGCCATCAGGACATGCTGGCAGTTTATCATCTTGAATGCACACAGGCAAATGTGGTCATCATCACAATGAACTGCAAGTTCCTGTGGTTTGCCCTCTGCTCTGCTTGAGAAACTTAAAGTTTAAAATCTGATCACAATGTTGGGGACTTTTTCACTTGAATTAATCACTGAGCCTGATCATTTTTTAAAAGTCAAAAAATGAATCGAGAAGAATTATTTAATATTCTGTAAGTATCAAGTACAGAATTTAAAAGCTAAGAGTTATTAGAATCAGGACCTCTGAACATCTGAGACAGGTAGGAGGCAGAAGGACTTGGTCAAGAAGGTAAACTATCTCCTAATGATGATTGTTTGCACTCTGAGTGGGGATTGAGACACAGCACTGTCTTTTTTATTCCTGGTTCTGATTCATTGCACACCAGGTCCTGACTTCTAGGTCTTTAGACTTGAGAACTCTTGTATATTAGACACAAAGTAGACAAGGATATGGTGGATGGATGTGGGTAGTGACTTTTTGACTATTTAGGATACCAGTGCCATACAGCCTTCTAAAAGATTTTAATTCTATGGAATTATACTACCTAGGTATCTAACAGTTACATGAATCTGATACTCCTCCTGGGTTAGATCTCAGCACCATTAGATACAACGGTATATTTTTCATTATCTGGCCATATGGAAGTGGTACTGGCTGGCTCAGGTCTGGCTTGCAAAGATGTATGCCAAAATCAGGAGGAAACAGAGAAAGACTCCAACGCCTAGAGAACAAATACTTTGTATGTCATGCTTCCCCTCCCCCAATTTCTTTCTCTGAGAAATAAAGTTGCCCTTGCATGGAGAGAATAGAACCCTGGATCTGAGTTTCCATAAAAGACTGAGGACTATTAAATTGAACATTTATTTATTTTTCCTAAAATACTTCTGTTAAAGTCCTACTCCCATGTGATATTTAGAGGCAGAGCTTTTGGAAAGTGATTAGATTAGATGAGGTGGTAAGAGTGGGTCCTCATGATGGGATTTGTGCCGTTAGAAGAGGAGGTACAGAATGCCTGTTTACCCTCTCACTCTAGTGTTAAAGGACCTGGTGAGGAGTTGACCATGCGCTAGCCAGGAAGAAAGCCTGCAACAATTGCCCAGTTAGCTGGCTTTTGACTTGGACTTCCTGTTTCCAGAACTGTTAGCAATAAATGACTGTTGTTTAAGCTTCTCAATCACTGGAATTTCTAATGTAGTACCTTCAGCTGATGAACACAGAACCCTTAGCTTCCTGTCCACGAACCCATCTGCCATAAACCTTAGCATTAGGTATAAATACTAATAGTGCCATAAGCTGGTGTGTAGGCAGGATTTATTCCTCTAGTTCACGTAGGGACTGGCTTCATCCATCTGTTCCTTGATTCACCCTACTTTTCACATTCCACTGTCAGATATTAACAAGCAAAGCATCTTGAAACTTATATGCTTTGAGCCCTATGTGCCCTATATGGTGGGTCATTATACTATGTGGGGATTCATGTTTTTTTTTTTTTTAAGACACAGCATCCTTATATATGCTGTATTAGTCAGCTTTCCACCACTATTACAAAGTGCTTGGCACAGGCTACTTAGGAAGTAAAAAGGTGTTTATTTTGGCTTACTCAGCTCAGAAGATTCAAGTCCTATACTGTGTTGCTTTTGAGTTTGAACCTCAAGTGAGTGTCATACATCATGGTGGAAATACGCAGAGCAAGTACCCAATTCTCAAGGGAAGAGAAGGAGAAAGAAAGAGAGAGCAAGAGAGAGAGAGAGAGAGAGAGAGAGAGAGAGAGAGAGAGAGAGAGAGAAGAGGAGAGGAGAGAGTACAATATTCTATATTCTCCTTTTGAGGGCCTATCTCCAGTGACCTAGGAACTTAGAATCTCCCTTCCTACTAGGCACTAAAACTATCACCCCGGGGACCAGGCTTTTACATGTGGAGCTTCGGGGTTTGTTCGTACAAACCATAACACATGTGTTGGCCTTGATCAAGGTGGGATTATTTCTGGAACAGTCAAAGTACAGAAATAACATAAGTTTCTGGTACCCACCCCCAAACAAAACTTGTGGGGTTACTGTCCGAGAAGGAAAATTGGATACAGCAGGGGGCTGTTTGGAAGAGAAAACGTGTTTCACTTTGCCTGAGCAATTCTTCCAACTAATTTGAGTGGGAAGGTGTGAGAATGGGTGAGTGAGACTCTATCGTTTCTGACGAAAGCAGGGCTATTGCTACTGACCTCTCCCTCTAGCTGGGCTTGATTTCTAATTTAATTCTTTTTCCCCCTGCAACTTTCTTATTAGCACAGGGATGTTGGTATGGCCTGTGTTCACATTTTCAAAAAAAGCACTCAAATCATTTTTTCTGTTGTGTATTGCATCTGCAATAAGGCCTCTCTTAAACCATAGGATACAAAAATTGTGAGCTCTGCAGTTGGAAAGAAATGTAGAGTTTTTTTATAAGCAACAAAGGTGCTTCAGAAAAAGTGAGTGAGCCTGGCACTTGTACATCACAGAGTAGGATGAGTTCTGCTAAGGGCACTGGGAAAATTCCGAGCATATTGGGTCATAAGCCAGTTTCCAGTGTCCTACACTTCCTTTTCTATACCGTAGAAGGTGACCCCCAAGAAATGTGCTAGATTGATTGATGCTGACAGGGACTTATTTGTGGTAGAAATGAAAGTAATAAACCTCAAAGATTGGGCTCCGTTCTGGATGTCACATTTTAGGAGGAACACTGACAAATGTGGAGAGGGAGGCGTCTAAAACCGCATTAGAGGTGAGAGAGATAAAGTAAGGGCTGGTATCTGGTTCCCATCAGGGAACACTTAAGGAAGATGAGACAGCTGTTTGCAGACATTTCCAAACTACCAAAGGAAGAGAAATGGGCCTTATTTTGAGCCAGATAAGAGATTAGGATCATTGGTAAGGCAGAAAGAAAGAAAAGGTGTGTCATTTCTATAGTTAGAGCTTCCTGACCATGGAATGAGTTGCTGTGCTGAGTGTCACCCTGTCAATAGAAGCCACAGAGACAGACCTGCTGGGCACAGTCTGGTGGTGCTGTGTATAGAGGCCAAGTCCCATTCACATTACCACAGAGGCTAGAATAGCCTTTGGTTTTGAAGCTCAAACCAAATCTAGAGCTCTTTAGGCCCAAGTCAAAGGACAGCAACTGAGGCCAAAAGTCCTAGACAATGACTGGGTTGGTAAAATCTGAGAGATGGAGATGAACACAGAAGGACCTATGAAAAGAATCAAGTTCAGCATCATATCTGACACATTTCAGGTTCTCAATAAGTACTGACTGATGCCTGAAAGGTAATATGGTCAAATGATCAGAACTTGAATTCTGGAATTAGCTACCTTGAATCTGAATTTTGACTCTGTTCTCTTATACAATCTGGCCATGAATCAGCCAGCCTTTTAAAGGCCCAGATTCCTGAAGCTCCCTTATTAAGGTGTTATTAAGGATTCACTGGTGGAAGTGTTAAGTCAAACCAGGCCTATTTTTACCACTCCCCACAGGAACAGTCCATAAAGGGTAAGCATCCTGTCAGATATTTTCACTGGGATTAGATGTAAAATTTGAAGAGAAAGAAAGAACTTGAGATCCCCAGCCCTCTATTTCTTTCCTCCTTTCTCCCAGTACTTACTTGAACATCTTCCTCTTGGGTCTTGTCACTCCAGGACCATCCAGATGGATCCAGACATTTTGCAGTGTTTCTTTTAAAGGATTGGTGAACTCAACAGTCACAATCATATCAGAGCCAACCATGGCAGTGCCTCGGACCTATGAAACAAGTTAAAGTACAATGTAGCACATCAGTTACAATACAACCTTTCTGCTGCAATCTCCTTAGGCACTCTTCTCTTTTGCCGAAGTTTTACAGTATGGTTACTCTTTGGCAATGTACCAGTGAGAAGGGAAATGCATATTGCTTTGACCAGGGGATACCTATTGAGGAAAAGATGGAAGATTACCAATTAGAGCCATGTTCTTTCCCTCATTATAACTACTCCTCTAATTAGAGCTGAGGTTAATAGCTGTGGCCACTGGCTACTCTCTGTCAGCAGTGGGTGGGAATGTATCCTGTGGAGCAACAGATTTCTAATATAAGGGCAGTAAAGTCGACTCTGTTTCTGGAAAGAACTCAACTTTACTGCCAAGACAGGAGAGATTTCAGAGGTCAGAAGGTAGGAGATACTCCAGGGGGTTTGTGCCTTTTTGTAGACACGTTAGAAAGAAAGACATCTAAATAGAGAGTCCTTGCTGAACTTGAGGAAGAGGAATCTGCACCCTAAAATAGGCAAGGAAAGTTCATCTGTAGCCATAATCTAGGAGGGTAAAGTTTGAGGACATGAGGCTATTTGAGGGAGAGTTTACCAATAGCAACCCCCAACCATCAGGTATTTGGCAGAACATCATATTAGAAAACCAGAGCTTGATGTGGGTGGTGACAGTTACTGGAAGTAGGGTCTTGAGTGACTCACTCAGACATTCAATTTTCTTTATTTTTCTCCATTTTTTACTAACCTACATTAATTATGCAAAATAAAGGGCTTCTTTACTACATTTTCATACATACATATAATGTACTTTGGCCATGCTCATGCTCCATTATCCCCTGATCCCCTGAAACCGGAGTTACAGACAGTTGTTAGCTGCCATGTGGGTGCTGGGAATCAAACCTGGGTCTTCTGGAAGAACAGCTAGTGTTCTTAACTGCTAAGCCAGCTTCCTTCCTTCCTTCCTTCCTTCCTTCCTTCCTTCCTCCCTCCCTCCCTCCCTCCCTCCCTCCCTTTTGATCATTCTGTCATTTTTTTGAGACCCACTGAGTTTAACCAGAATCATCTGTGTGACCACAGGTTTGGAACTAGCCAGTGGAACCTGGTGGGTTCATCAGTGGGCACAAAACTGAAGACAATGATTGTTACTCCTCCCAGAATCCATCAATAGCCAAACATTGAGCAGGGAGGGGTAGGGCCCCGTAAGCTCCTCTTTAATTCATGATTGATTGTTGGTAGGCCCGCAGAGGTCATGATGTCCTTGGCTGTGCCACATCCAGAGGACAGCATTTCTCAGTCCTTCCTAAGTTCTGGCTCTTACATTCTTTCTTCTCCCTCTTCCTTGATGTTCTCTGACCCTTAGATGGGGTGATATAACTGTCCTATTTATAGTGGAGCATTCAGCCATCACTTATCATCAGCACCTTGAGCAGCCATTGTCTCTGTATTCACCACCATTCATTGCAACAAGAGACTTCTCTGATTAAGTCTGGGAGTGGCATTTGTGCTTTATGGGCTGCTGGGTGAGAAAAATCATCAACAGACTTACCCATTATGAACCCCCTGATGATCTATAATACCAACCAGCTAGGCAAGATGTGCTTAGTGTTGCAATAGTGGCACAACTGTTGTGGGAGTCACCAACCAGTCTCTGCCTGGATTTGAGGCCTGCTTCACAAGACAGAATTCATACCTGGTACTATAAACTCAGTCAAAGGCCCATGGGTGCAGAGGTATCTTAGGCTCTTGGGGCACTATTAATACTTATGGTTAGCTAAATTGTTATGGTGCTAAGCTGCCTACTGTTTATATTCAATGTAACTTTGATTTGTGTATTTCCCTGATGGCTCAAAATGTTGAATTTTTTTTCACATATTTACTGGCCATTTGTATTTCTTTTGAGAACTGTGATAAGGCTTAGTTTTCTTATCTTTCAAATAGGGCTTAAATTTCTATGGGATAATGTATATAGAATGTCATTATTATTATTGTCCTGTATGTTTTATGGGTACCACAGGCTTAGATGACTTTTTTCAACACAAAATCAATGTTCTAGAAGATGGCCAGGTAGCAATGGGATTTCTTTGTCTGCTTAAGGCTAGGTATGCCAAACAGGTGGATCTATATAAGACCTGTCACTTGAGAACAAAATGATGCTGGTGATGATGATAATGATAGTTTTTCCGCTAGTAAGAAAGGAATGGAAATATATAATATGCATTAATCAACTTGCAAGGTGCCCAGAAATATTTGAATACATCATACTCAACCTTCTTAGAGAAGCCATTCTGCTTTTAACTCCAATACCTATTCTGTGCCCAATAAACAGTTTTTAAGTTAGGTGAACTATTGTAAAGTGACATTTACTGGCTGTTTGAGTTTTCTATGTAACAACTAGTCATTTTTACAAGTTTGTTTCTTACCTGCTTACCAACTTTACAGCTTAGAATAAAATCTTACAGTTTTACTTTTCTAGTTTGTAGCTAAATTTATGGTCTATGAGATTTTCAAAAATACCTATCAGAAAAAATGAAACTTTCATGCAATTAATTGTATTTATTTTATGTCCAAATTTAGCCAGCTTATAATATAGGAGCACACACAGAGATATGAGCCTTTCTTATGGATGGTGATCAAGAGAAAGAACATTGCCTAGATAAGAGGACCCCTGCTTACCAACTTTACAGCTTAGAATAAAATCTTACAGTTTTACTTTTTTAGTTTTTAGCTAAACTTATATCTATGGGATTTTTAAAAATGCCTATCAGAAAAAATGAAACTTTCATGCAATTAATTTTATTTATTTTATGTACAAATTTCCTAGGATCAGTGGGTGGAGAGATGGGTTCTAGGGGACCAGGGGTGGGACAGACGTGCAATGATGGAGACAACAGTCATACCCAAAGGTCATGGACTGAGCATTAGGTAGACGTCATTACTTCAGCCAGTGGGAACTTTAAAACTACAGAAGTCTCAACCCACTCCAGATCATGATGTTAGGTTTCCAGATGGTAGAGTCTGTAATTTGTTTATTTTTGAGCACTCTGGCTCTTTACTAAGGACCAGGCCCATTGAGAACCATGGTTCACCCACCATTCTCATACCAGGGCTGAATTTCTATCAGCTCCAAGGCACATAGGAACAAGATGTTCATATCAAATCATCTCTTAAGGAGGGAAAGATTTTTCTGAGGAGGATCATTGGTATTGGCAGTCTATATTTTATGAAAGAAACAAGTATTTCTCATGAAAATTGAAGCTACTCTCCAGGACAAGATTTGAGTTCAAGTCTTTCTATGAGAAAGCCTGAACTTAGAGGCCAGGATGTTTCGGCCAGAGGAGTTGGAAGAGAAAAGTCAGAAATAACCAAACAACTTAAGCTACTTTGTCCTGAGGTCCACAGATCCACAGGCCCACCAGGAAGAAGCGAGCTTTTCAAATTAGTGAGGACAGAGCTGGATTTGGAACCACAACGACAAAACTGAAAATAAAGTGTTGGGGACCTCTGTTATGCAAAGTAGAAGCCCCTTCATGTCTGGACAGCTCATGCAGCTCGGGATTATGTGCTGGGGCTCCTTTCATAGCGGGGTGCCTTCCTGGCATCTTTCCTGACTCTCCTTTTGAAGTGCTTTAATATAAACATGGCCTTTGGCACTGAAAGATACCATGCTTTCCTGTGTGATTTTTCCAGGCAGTCAGCAGTCTAGCAGCGTGGAAGAAATCCACTTCCATATGTAAATAGAATGTCTCACAGAATATCTAACAGCCAAAGCTTTTACCACTACCCCCATGGTATAAATATCCTAGTCTCTCAATATTTGGAGCTAGAAGCAGACTTGGAGCTAGAAGCAGACTTAGAGCTAGAGCGAGAACTGGGTCACTGAGGCTTGGAATAAAGAGCTGTAGACTGAGTTCTGTGTCTCCTGCCTGCAATCTAGCCTCCCCGGGGAGCAGCACTCCCTCGTTACCGACTTGCGGACATTCTAGCTTTCGCTGTCCTCGTACTCTTCCCGCGTGGTTCAGTGGCCAGTGGACCTCACATCCTGAGGAAAGTACACGGGTGGAAAAGGGACAGGATTCAGCTGGACAACGCTCCAGTAGCAGAGAAATTTTCAGCACCAGAGATGCGCGGACAGAGACATGGGACCCGAGCCTGCCGGGAAAAGCCTGCGGGGCACCCGCCGCCGCGGCCAGAGACGCCTGTGGCCAGACCCACGCCGCGACTAGCCATGTGTGGCGGGGACCCCGAGATACCCGCGCACACCACGCCTGGGGCCCAGAGCACTCCCTATAATAAAGTTCAATGAAGAGGAGACAGGATAACTAATTAACATAGTGGAACCGGATTCAGAAGTTACTTTTGTGACTTCTGGGGTAATGGCATGTAAATTAATTAGTCTGATCTGAAGACTGTGACAAAGCCAGCAGTCAAATCTAGATCAGAGTTTCCCAACCTCAGTACCAGTGATTTGGGCTGGATACATCTTTCTTGTGGGCATTGTTCTGTGACATGGAAGTATTTAGCAGCATCCTTGGCTTTTATCCACTAGATACCAATAGCCCAAAGCATCCCACACCAAATGACAACTACAGGTATCTCTAGACATTGCCAAATATCTCTTGAGAAGCAAAGTCCTTCCCAGTCCTCTTGAAAACCACTGTCGCAGATATGTTGAAAGACTAACTGAATTTGTCACTTTCTTCTCAGAAGTTTTGACTTGGTCAGTTGGGGTCTAGAAGTACATTTGAATATCTTACATAGTACCCTCAGTTTAATTTTCTAGTGTGTCCAATACACTTTCCTCAGAATAAAATATTTTTGAAACTTTTTGGATTTTCTAAATCATAGATCCTCCCTAAATTAGATACACCATTGGTAAAGTGTTTGATATAATGGCTTTTGGGAACAATGTCTGGGGTATCTGTCCTCTCCATGGCATACCTTGAGGATGGGCAAAAAAGCTTCTGAAAAAAGAAATCTAAACAAGCTGGCTGTGGCAGAGCA